CTTCTGATCCTAATCGAAAATCATTTTCAAAACGACAGTTAAAGGACTAATTAGATATTCGGGGGAGGTTTTTGAAATTTTATATTTATTTATTTCGTTGTAAATATGCTGAGAGAACAATGGATGATTAAGCTTCACTTTAGCCGACTAAATTCCATAGTCATACTATGAAATTTTGTGAGCGGCACGTAGGGAGTTTTTTCTTCAGCGTCAAAGCATACTAACAAATTAAAAAGAGTGCAACATGAATTTGTGCCGAATTCATAGCCTAAACTTCATGATCCTTTTATCCCAACCGCCTGCCTAAAACAGCTAGCGTGAGGTAGATTCCACCTGTCTTTTAGGAGATTTACATATCCTCATAATAACTTTATAAACATTTTTAATCTCCTATTAGAAAGTAGAACATTTTGAAAACTTGGAAATTTTGGTAATAGTCACAATAGAGCATTCGAAGTGAATTACTTTCGTTTATTCCTGCTTCAAACGCATTATAAATTTCCAGTTTTAAAAATTTTCCCTGATATTAATAAAAAAATCTACCCATCTTCTTTGCATTTCACAACACACATCAGAGAGCACAGCACAGTGAAGGTACCAAGAGACAAGGTGCGAGACATGTTAAATATGTTGTTATAAAATCGTGCACCGCGTTACTAGAATGTAAGACGCTTCTCGGCTGGGACAGAGATGTACCACGGAGACAAGTCACGTTTATGAATTTGAGATCTATTTCCATCTACGTAAATTACCTTTAGGCATTGCATTAAGTAATTGGTATGGTAGACGTCAGACACCTTATGGAGATATTCTGGCTTTTTTTCAGGCTTTACTTTCACCACTGCTTAAGTAGTGTTCAATGCTGCGAAGGTCGTTTTAATACTTATCTCTTCCACCGCAGTTCACATATATGATTTTCATGATTTTGTCATTTAGGCCAGTGTATATCAGTAAGCAAGCTGTGGGTGTATATTGTTAGAAGTTTTATTATGGTGGCTTTTCAATTGACCCTCATTATTCAAGTAGTGTCAGTCATGCAAGTAAGTATAAGCAAGTTAAGTATAGGTAATCACATGATTTCGAGTGCAATTTGGAATAAATAGGCACGAGTAAATTTTTTTAAAGACTAACATTTTACAACCGCTTATTTACGAGAAAAATCATGTGATTACGTATTAATAATACACATGAAAAACTACCAGATAGCTTATCATAATTATGCAGAAGCAAAGCGCGCGCATCAAGTGCAAAAATAATTTATTCAAAGCCTGCAAATGACATTGTGCGTCCGGTCAAAACAATAGCGTACGATCTGAACAATAAAATACAAAGATGTTTTCACATCTTTAAGGCGCAAAAAAGTTCAAAGTCCGGCTAAACAGTTCAAGGAATTATTCAGTCCGTGTCCGAGTCATTTTCGATGAAATGAAATCGTCGTTTGCGAGGTTTGACCATGTTTGTTTTTAATTTCGGCGTAGAATCGCTCGAGCAGAGTGTTCTAATTGTGCTCCTAATTTTCGATTTCCTTGGCAATTCCCTCCTCTAATCACCACTTTTTCCAAGCCGACAACCAAATAGCGGTTGCAACTTATTTTCAGTCGAAATAAGTTCGTCAAGCTCAAGTATTTGCTGAAATTACCGTTCGTCTAAAATTATGCATCAAACTACTCCAACCGTTTACGGAAAACTGATATACACAATTGGGGTTGCTACCTTATTGTACAACGTAAATCTCAACGAACCTTTCACATTTTGCTCTCCTCGTCTGACAGAATATAAGTTTAGGTTTGTCCACCACCATTTTTTCAGTCATTTTAGCAATCCTCCAAAAAAAATGGTTGCAACGTTGAACCTATGGTGAGGGATCAGAATAACAGATGAAATAATCTACAAATTGAAGACTGACTTTCCTAACATGTGGGGACCTAAAGTTTTTGAACTTTTGTTAAATACAAAAGCACTTATAATACAGTTGAACTTTTCCTTACGGACACCTCTGAAATTTTTTTAGATCCAGATCAAATTCTGATATCTTCCTCTTATAATAAGGAAACATCCTGATATGGACCCTCTCTAATAAGGACAACGCACGCTGAATCTCAGACAATCATGGTCTCTTGATACCCAGAGAAAAGAAGCACTTTCCAAAATTTTCCATATCTGCTTTATTGCAGCTGGACCAAACAACATCGCAATAATCAAAAATGGGCAAAATTAATGAATTATACATCTCGAAAGCTGCATGTATAGTGATATTCCTTCTAAGGCGCCCTAAGACACCAACTCTTTTACCAACCTTTGAAATAAGACGACGAACATGGTCTTTCCACGAAAGACTATCGTCAAGAACGATGCCTAAATACTTAAAATCATAAACTCTATTAATTTCATAATCACCTATTTTGATAACTACTGTGTCAGTAGCTTTAGAAAGCCTAGCATCAGTTCCAAAAATTACAAATTCTGTTTTTCTTTTGTTGATAAAAAGAAAATTACTGAGAGTCCATTTATTCACTTCATCTAATTCGGCATTCAAAGTTTCCTCCAAGATTTTAATGTCCTTTTGGGCTGCAAAAACAACCGCATCATCAGCGTATAATAATATATTACATTTGCTAGCAGTAGGTAAGTCATTGATGAACAGCACAAACAACAATGGTCCAAGGATTGAACCTTGCAGCACACCAAAAGCAACTTCACAAGGGTCTGACAGAGTACTTTGGACTGTCACCACTTGTCGTCTATCGGTTAGGTAATCCCTAAACCATCCAAGCTCTTTTCCAGTGGCTCCATATCCCATAGTGAGTTTCTCATGGTCCACTGTGTCGAACGCTTTCCGCAAATCGATGAAAACTGCTCCAGTTAGTAGACCCTGATCCATACTGCGCCTTATGCTGTCAGTGAACGATAAGACAGCCAAATCAGTAGAGTGGCCCTTGCGGAAGCCACATTGCTAGGGACTCAATAACTTTTCTCTAGCTAGAAAATCATATAACTGCGTGTGAACTACTCTTTCCAGAACCTTGGATATGGTCGGTAGTACAGATATCGGTCGATAATTATCCATGTCATTTGATTTGCCATTCTTGAATAAAGGATTTTCACGTGCCCATTTCCATTCAGAGGGGACGTATCCATAAATCAAAGAAGCATTAATAAGAGTATTAAATATGTTTTGACCTGAGTAATAATCAAAAACTTATTTTAGACTAAGCCAAAATGTGTTTTGAATTAAGGAACCATAAATCCTTATCACATAATACAGTATATATCTTCATCGGATCAAAACAAATGAGGTTCCATCTAGGAAACGAACAATTCTTTAACTAAAATAGAATAGTTTCAGAAAAGATAAAAATTGTGCAGCAACATAAAACTATAAAGGATTCGCACTTGATATGTACAAGATTCCTGATTTCTCCAAAGGCGGCCCAAGCTCCAGCTATGAGATGATCATCTTCCAAGTTACAGTGGGGTCCCCGGCGAGTTTAAAAAGGAGGCAAGGTTAACAAGCCGGTTTTCAACGGTCGTGTGTCAAGGTTGATGTGGACGCGGGCTGTTAGAAACCTCTAAACTGGAAATTTTTTAAGCAAACTGCGGCTTAGCATCGGTTGCACGGGGAAGATTGAGTTTGTGTTGAATTGAAATGAAACTACAGTATACGTGTTTGGATTCTGCATTGGATTTGTGGCCGCCCGGTCATTTTGCGCTGGAATTTTTGGCTTCTCAGATCGAGCGTTCGGAAATGGAGTGTTCAGCCTTGGGCTTTTCTTATGAACGTTGAAAACCTCGAAATGGACAACTCTCTAAAATGCGTTCTTTTCATCAAAGTAAGCAGTCTGATAACAAGCAGTACGCTGTGGAAGTAAGGTGAGATTATTTTTTTGATAATTTGACGTATTTTTTTTATTCCTTAGAGCGGTCGTAAATATTCCCATAAAAACTCTTATAATTCCGCCATGACTGTTATTGCGCAAGATGATCATCTCAAGATCTTTCTTAAAAAGACTTGAAATCTTTCCAAGTGTATATCCTTGTTTAAAAACACAGATAACAACCCGATCAGCGGTAGATGGGTAATATTGCGCATGATTGCGTGGAGAAAACGCTGGCTCACGTTGGCCCAGACTGGGGGTGGGTTGTGATAAATAATCATAAGAAATAATTGGAAATAACTTTTCAACCGTTTGGGATGGAAAAAGGAGATAGAAAATCGCAGATTTTAATCATTCACAAGACAACTCGCAGACAAAGACTTTCTTTGATTTGGTGGCTCCTAAAGAAGCTGTTTATATTTTTTTCCTGAGATGAAACACCTCAAAGGGTTAATAATGGCTGTTGATATATGAAAATCATGCATGTGAAGAAACTAATATAGAATCGATCCTCGCAGTTATGAACTGATACTTGAAAAATGGCCTGAAAAAAAATTCAGGCCCGTACGGAATTTGAACCCAAGACCTCTGTCATACTGGTGCAGTGCTGTACCAACTGAGGTAACGAGCCATCTGGGAGTTGGTCATTATGTTGGATCCAAATAAACCTCCCAAGGCTGTGAATATATGAAAATCATATATGTGCACTGCAGTTGAAGAAACGAATATAGAATCGATCCTCGCAGTTATGATTTTCATATATTTACAGCCATTATTCACCACTTGGAAGGTTTATTGACCAGCTCCCAGTTCGTTTGTAGGCTCAGTTGGTAGAGTGCTGCACTGGTATCGCAGAGGTCATGGGTTCAAATCCCGTACGGTTCTGACTTCTCTACTTTCAAAAATTCTGGAAGCGTTCTCTTTATCAGTGAAAACTTTGACTTTTTAACGCCTTACAGAAGCAGCATAGGCTTGAATGACATAGAAATTGGCCTTGAGTTTCCTGAAAGTCGAACTTTGCTGGCTCTCGAAGGGAGTAAACATACCACCGACAGGCTGATCGTTAAACCTAACATGGAAACCGCCGAAAGCATAGTCGCAAAAAATAACTACTCCGGGGGAGAACTTGGGCTGAATGCCATAACCGTCAAAGGCCTCAATATTAAGAAACCAGAAACGCAACCCCTTCAATAGAGGAACAGAAATAGGAAATGTACAGTCCCAGCCAGCTTGGATGGTAGAATGAATCTGCCTGGTAAACAGACTAGCGATGAGATCGACTGCTACAAATAACGAGTTGATGAAACCGGATACCCGAGCGAGATCTCTAAAAGTAACGGTTCGCGACGAAATAATAAAATCTAGATCGCTCTTAAGCAGGGAGATTTTCATAGGAGGAACTCCAAATTGCATCTCAATTGTGTCAGTAACAAAGCCCAACCACTGCCCGACTTTCATAGGCTCCAACTACGACTTTTCCTTGTTTAATTTTAAGCCACACAATTTCAAGTCCTTTTGATGGACCCAACTAGCTGCAAACGCGGAACCCTCTCCGGAAGCCCCGGGATATCGTCATCCAAATAAAGAAAACAGCAGTGGTCCATCGAATGCCAACGCTTAACTAAAGGCCTTAGCAACTTCGTAAACAAAAACAAGTAAAACTCAAACCGAATGGAAGGACCCTGAAAGTGAAAAAACGAACCTTACCGCTACAGGGCAAGGAAAACCCTAAGAACCTCTGATATCCACGTTATGGTACCCGGAGTCAAGGTCCCTGGTGAAAAACCAAAATTTCTGCTCGAAAACTTTGGAAAGACTATGTAAATTCTCGTACTTAAATGAATTCCTTGAAAAGGCACGGGTTAACATGCCGGAGATCAATCACCAGCCTTAACTTTTTACCCTAAGCTACTGTCAACGGATTCATACGGTAAGGCGGCTCTAAACGCTCCTCGATGCAATCAGCCGCCAACAGCTTGACAACAGTTTCCTCAACACAGCTGGGAAGGAGTTTGGCTAAACGATTATTCGTAATAAACCATGGGTCAGGGACTCTAATCAAAGCTAACTCATAATCCTCAGAAATCACATCAAGCACAAAACGGGGGGGGGGCAGCAATGGCGGACTCCCAATGACTAACACACTGTTTCAGGCGGCCTTTCACACTAAGGGAGCCCTCGATAAACTCGTCCCAATTACTCAAATAATCAATAATTAACGGGTACTCATCAGTCTCCACAATGCTTTCATCCATGTCAGAAACAGTGCCCACAGATAGTCAAAACCGGCTAGGCGGACGGTCCGACAATGATGAACTAGACGCAGATTTTGGACAATTATGCGTTAAATGGCTAAAATCCCAGCACTGAAAAAGAAAAGAAACATTAGCGAAAATAGGAAAAGTAAACTAAATCAGTGCTGGTAACACGCTGAGAGAACAAAATTAAGGACGAAGCACTCCTTAAATACTCACGAATGAGAAAAACTCAAGAGACTACATACTAGTTAACGCCCAACCCGATACGACATCTACCAATGAACGGATCCAAAAACGCACAGAATACAAATATATGCTAAACATCGTTTCATAAATATTGTGCTATTATTCTTGTATTCTTAATTTTTGACTCAGGACACTGTAAGGAGAAATTAGATGCTAGACACTGTTTGAGTTGAATTAATCGTTTGTGGTTAGCTTGAAGTAACAGTATAATTTTGCGTAACGTGAGATTCACTTTGTCTTAGTGTGGTGGATAAGCATAAAATTTGTTACGGCCTCAGAATAAAATTTTTAGATGCTGACCTGTCATTTTGTTCTTAGAAAGTGTGAAAGGTCAACAAAAATAAAATGCACAATTTCTGCTCCTTAGGCTAAACTCCCATAACTCTTTTTTTTTAATGTTCTTATTTCATTTGGGAAACCTCTGCTGGCTATCAAAAGCACATTTTATCAACTCAGCCCTCTGATGTGATTGTCTTTTCTCTAAACTTGAGGACCAAGAAGCGCCAAGCATTGACCAAACTGTAGAAGCATTGATTTTGAGTCCGATTCTTAATATTTCCTGTTCGCATGATGTTAAGCTGTCGGAGCCGGCGAAAATTAGGGTCCCACTGACACTCAGCGACGGTGGTATAGAGCCAATGGACCTGTATGCTCGTCAGTTGAAGATACTGCACTTCAATTCGAGTGAAAAATCACAAGAATCGACGGATATCACAGATGATTTGGATATGCCTGCAGTCCTTAACGATAGAAAAGTGACGTTTCAGGTCAAAAATTTCTGCGCGTAATATACAGATGTTTTCGGTGTACACTGTTTTTAATTTAGATATAAACGATGAGTACATATTATAATAAAGTACGGATAAAACACGCGCTGTCATTGGTTGAAAGAGCGTGCTCTATGATAGTATAGAGCACAGACCTGAGCTAAAGCTGTCACGTCATCTGCCAAATTGTACTATGTCCGACCTTCTCCGGGACTATTCTCTAGCTTTTTCCGATAACTGAAAGTGAAATTTCGGAACAAGCGAGCCGGAAAGTAGCAACAGAAGAACCAAACAAAGGTTTATAAACATTCTAGGTGTCGTAATTTACGTTATTAAAACGTGAGCAGAGACGAAAATCCTCAAAGAGAAAACGAAAATGGACAGTCCGAGTTTTAAAGGCGCTTAGTTAGACTGCAATCCGGAATTTGCAAACACGTTTTAGCTATGATGCCAAAGGTGTGCAATTACACTCTTTATAATTATAAAAATGTCACAGAACTACAACACACGGCAGATGAAAACTGTTCAGCAACATGCACCTCAACCTTGTAGAGGTGGCATCAACCACGGGTTGAAGGCACTTCACCTTGCCATATGTTATGGAAGGGTCTGTTTCCAAAACACAACTAGAGGGTGAGCACAAAAGTTGTGGTACTACATGTCACCTTTGTGAAGTAAGGCCAGGAAAAAAAACTAAATGATTTTGTGAAAGGAACCATTATAATTGATGCACACTGTAAATGATTTGCTGAAAGCATTAATAGAGAAGATGGCTGTGTTGGGGGAGATTGGAAACCATTATCAAGACTGATACCTGAACTTGGTCAGGGTACTTTTACATTAGTAGGGAAATTAAAAAACCTATGGCTGCCGCAACCATGTTAATGTATGAATATGAAAGCGATCTTCGCAGTAATGAACACTACTTAAGTAGTAGTGAAAATAAGGCTCGAAAAAATTCAAGCCCATACGGGAATTGAACTCATGCATATTCATTTCTTTCTCCGCAGTTCACATATATGATTTTCATATATTTATACTTCACGGATTTATTTGAAACCGACGTAATGCTCAGCTCCCAGTCGGTTCTTAAGCTCAGTTGGTAAAGTGTTGAGAGTTATCGCTTAGTTAAAGGGTTGAAGTCCTGTGCAGACCTGATTTTTTTTTCAGGCAGTACTGAGAAGGTCGGTTCCATACTTATTGCTTTCTCCACAGTTCACATATATGATTTTCATATATTTACAGTCATTTATGCCAATGTATCTTAGTATATAAGCAAGCTGTGGGTGTCTATTTCTAAGTGTAAGCTATGGTTCATTTTCAGTTGTTCGTCAAGCATTCAAGCAGTGGCAGTAATGCAAGTTAAGTTAGTATACAATGGAAGAAAAGAGGCAACATGAAAAACTATACATTCTATTTACCATTATTTTTAAAAGAACTTGGGATGACTCGCAACTCTTGCAGCACTGACTGGTACGATGAATCATCTACCGCATTTGATTATCCTCTGTATCGGTTTCTCTTAACCTTTTAATCCCTAAGAGTGATTGACATCTTATTTCTCTTTATAGTAACACTTTGAATCAAACGTTGATGTCATGGAAATAAAGAAAGTTATCACTCATAAAGGTCATGAAATCAGGGTAATGATCCGCCACCGGAAAAGCTCTGAATTGGTGGACAAATTCTCTGTATAAATACCATTGTAAATGTGTAGAGATCAGTACAGAGAATAGCAGGTAATTTAGTGTTAACAACTGAGTTGAAAACGTAAATTAGCCACCGTAAAGGGTACAAAAGCTGACGTTTCGGGCGTTAGCCCTTCCTATCGCTCTGACGAAGGGCTAACGCTCGAAACGTCAGCTTTTTTACCCTTTACGATTGCTAATTTACGTTTTCAACTCAGTTGTTAACACTAAATTACCTGCTATACTCCCCCACCGACGCAGTAGCACAGTTTCTTTAGAAACGTACCCCTTTATTCATTTAGTATAGAGAATATGCATACTGATCCAATGATGTGAGGGGTTTAAGAATGGTTCCATTTTCTTCAGACATGGTACACTTGTCTAGACAAGTTCAAGCGTAAAAACGATCTCGATAACTGCCAGATTTAGGGTACTTGGAGAGCGTAAAATTTTAATCAGAACTCCATGTGTTAATTGAATTACCTTACAAACATAAAAAGACGAAAATCACCTTATTTTTGTACTTATTCATTTAGGCCTTGCACTTTTCATATCTTTCCAGAAAATTTATTTGTTCATAATAGTTTTAAAACCATTATCTCAATTCTGTTGTTAAAAAATGGAGTTAATACGTTCTGATTTTTTCTATCCAGTAATTGCAGAAATATACTGCCTGAATTTACGTAAACAGAGAGCCTTTAAAGTTAAAAGTATGTGTTTAATTCTTGGCCCTGATAAAGTCGGAATAAACAATTTGAGCCGTGGATTTAATGCACTTTTTAATTTTATTTTAAACTTAGCTGAAAACGAATCCTTGTAATTTATTTTGATTCCAAATGAGCATGCAAGCCCAAGCATTTGCTGAAATTCCAGTGCGTTTTATAATTATGCATCAAACTACTCCAACCGTTGACGGAAAACTGATATACACAATAGATATGCTTCCCTATCATACAATGTAAAGAATCCAACTATGACAACGAATCTTTCACATTTTTCTTTCCTTGTCTACATAGAAATCATTTAATTTTAGGTTTCTCCGCCACGATTTTTTCAGTCACTTTAGCAATCCTCTGAAAAATTGGTTGAAACGTTGAACTTAGGGCGAGGGATCAGGATAACAGAAGAAATAATATACAAATTGAAAACTGACTAACCTAACACGTGGGGACCTAGATTTTTTTATGTTATTAATATATTTAGAAAAAGTTAAATTTTTGGGAAATACAAAACCGCTTATGTTACAGTTGAACGTTTTCCTTACGAACACCTCTGCAATACCGACACCTCGCCAATAAGAACGGCGGACAATCTTCTATATCTAGATCAAATTCTGCTATATTCTCTTCATTAATAAGGAACCTTACTGATATAGAGGACAATAAGGACAACGCACCCTGAGCGTCAGATTATGGTCTCTTTATACTCGGAGAAAAGAAGCACTCGTGTGCCTGCTCATGTTCCTATGCTATGGACACTTCAATCTTGAGAGTTACACCGTATTGAACTTAATGAAACGAACATATCCCTTATACGGACACTTTGCTTTGTCAATAAGGTTTTTGTATTACAGAACTTCGTCTGCAGTGTTTTTGCCGCTGTATATGTAAACAGTTAGGGTCCGATACAAGCTCGAAAATAAAGAAATGGAACGAGCAGTTATCGAACCATTATTCAAAGAGAAGATTTACTTTCTGTAACTTTTTAAACAGCACAGAATTATCTCGACATTAAGACGCACCATCAGTAAATAATTGTTGTAAGGATATTATTATGCTGAGATTATGCGCCCTTACACCAAAAACAATTATAATCTTTTCCGCTCAAATGCTGGCCAACACCAATTAGTCACCTAGGCAATCTCATTGCAACACTTTCTGGTCTCCGATTTTTGAAAGTAAAGTAAAATGTCGAGGTCTTCTCGTCTTCTTCCGCGATCGATTACATTCGATAATGTCCATCATGTCTTTTCGACACAAATTAGGAAAAGTATATTTTAAATGCCTGCATATGACTAGATTGATAACCACGCACAATGAAGAGCAGTCTAGGCGAAACTTCGAAGAGAAATTTGACTATGGGAGACACTTGCAAACGAGAAAATAACATGTAAAGAAATGATAAAAAATACAATGACTTTTAGTCCATCTCAACTTGAAGAGCGGTAAATAAGAGAAAAACATTCATTCGGAATTACAAAGGAATTCATAAATCCTTAACATTCAATTTTTTTTTCAACTTTTTAGCCCCTCATTAATTATTCCCACAGTAGCGCCAATTACAGCTTGGTGTTTCATGGAGATAGTAGATATAGAAGGATCCACAGTTTTTCACTAAAATATTTATCTTGCCCTTGCAACCTGTGTCACGATTACTAAAGCAGACCTCTCTTTTTACTTCACCATCCTCCAATGTAGGATGAGCACCTTCCAACCAACCTGACCAGTCTGTACCACATCTGTATGCTGGCACACGCTCTGTTGGCATATTTGTTCCAGCATCTCCCTCAAAACGATACCATCCCTCAGATAACTTGCTGTCACACTGTTCACTTCCCTCGGGTGTACCGTAACTGCTCTTTCTGTTACCGTCGTTCAGAATTGAGTAGTTATAACAACCGTCGGCTGGAAAGTTAATTGCAATTCAAAAAGGGAATGATAATCACATGGTTTAAATTTGACCTTGATTGCATCATCATTCATTGTCAGGATTATTCATGCATTATTACCATCCTTTTTTAACTCGTGAATTGCGCGCATGCGCAAGAGCGAGTTATAGATACCATGTGGGGAATGGAATTCGCTCGCTCGCTCGCTCGCTCGATTGGTCGATTCCTGTAAACTTTTTTTAGATTTTAGGCTTTTGAGTGCATTTTATAGTTTTTGGCGAACAATAAACAGACGAAATGGCGACCTTTGTTGCTAAGAATAGTGGTGGGGTGAAAAAGAAGCCAATGATAATCTTAAAAGAGTTTTTTTTTTTCGTTTTAGTTTCAACAAGCGGCGCCAGCGACTGGCAGGCATGCGAGGATTCACACTGAAATAACAGAACAACCTTCGTTTTTCATAAAATTGTAATTTACAATCCTTGAACTTGAAAACAATCCGAAGATTCATTGAAAATATCACTTACTGCTAAGCGCTCGGAGTTTACAGATGTTCAAAAGCTTTTTCTGTTATAGCGTGAGATTGAAGACAAAATTGATCATTACGTTTCGTCGCGTGTGTTTTTCCTGTGTGAAGCAACAGAAGATGCCAGCGACTGACGAAATAACAAGTCAACACGAAAATCAAATAACACCTAAACAAACAATTTTTAGCTACCGATTTTCAGTGAATTTTTAAAGAACAATTTTCTTTTAAGTTTCAAGACAATTTGAAGATTCAACATACATACAACGTACTAAAATGCGAAAGTTACACACCACAAGATTGATAAATAGGCCTGAAATGAAATTCTATCTTGTTATTGATAATACGTTGCCTAGCACGTGACTTAAATCTACCCAGGCGGAGATCCAAAGTGACGATGGCAGGCTTGGCTTAGTTATATCACTCAAAACTCGTTCCCGTTTGTCTCATTTGATAAAGAGGGAATCGTTAATGTTTTCATTAAGACAGTATTGCCTTGATTTTCTAATATTTACAACGAAAGACAGTAAATTTCACTTTTCACCCACATTTACTTCAACCTTTTCTTTTGAACCAGAAACAAAAATGATAGACGTTTAAAACACATGACATCATCCACCTTATCAAATGTAATAGCATGATCATTTCAATTGTAATGCCTTCTTATCCCAACGTTACTTTGTCTCTTTGCTACATCAGCGAACACTGAACTACTGCTCGTACTCTAGATATGACAATCAACCACAAAATTCCCTAAACCAGATAACATTAAACATAATCTAAAAAATCATGTGTCAATTCACGAGTTTGCTCACAGAGCACTTTGATTAATATAAGCAGGCACTTGATACATTACAGCGACGATGTTGTGTAAAAACATACGGAAAATTTTGAACCAGCTCGGCATTGACTTTCCAATTATCTTCTTTCTTCAATGAATAGATTCGCTAAAGGGCGAGTACCAGTCCGCTAAATTATTTTTTACAACGAGCTAGAATCCTGCCACCCTTGTATTAAAAGCACACTAGAATCGAAAATTAATTTTGGCAATAACCCATATGTAGATTAGGGCGTTTAAAAGAGGGCGAAACGGGGAAATCATCTGTCATGTCAAATAAAGTTCGCTTGAAAAATTATCAAGAGTGGAAGTAAGTTGTGCATTTGAAAGTGTTTCTCGTTTATTGCAAAGTGTTCGGAAGAAGCGGGTTGTTTTTTATCTGTTTTCTTGCTTAAATTGAACAGCTCGGCTTTTTTTTTCTTACTTTGCCGCCAGCACTTAGCTAAATGCTTCTCTCCTACAAGTAATTTTCCACTCTCTAACACCCAGTTTCGGGAAATTTTCGCTCATTAGCACGGCTCTTTATTCTGTATACCGATGAGGGCGACTTCGCTCTTAGCCTCGTTCTCACGCCGTAATTTCGGCACCAGATCACTGATGTCCGAGAACTAGGAAGTGGCCTATTCCAACCTTTCAAAAGAAATGCAGAATAACGAACACATGGACACACAAAAAGACGAAAAAATGAAGGCTCAGACAACCAGACAGACAGCCAGAAAGACGGCTATTTCTAATTGGTTTAAAAATTTTATCAAACAGAGGTATAGAAAACAAACCTTCACATTCAATTCCATTCCAGAAATATTTAGTTTGGCAGGTGCAATTGAATGACCCCAGAGTGTTTGTGCAATTGGCGCCACCCTTGGTACAATTATTATTAACCAAAGCACACTCGTCGATATCTGAAAATAGCAGCAAGACATTGATGAGAGGTCTAGTAGAATGGATAACGCTAAAATGTTACATGAGCTTCTAAACATTTTTTATTTTCAAATGGCTAATTTCGTCGCTGTTTGTAATTTAAGCTCTACCTGTCATTCAAACTATGAAATGAATGGTACATGAACAAGCATGCTGAGTTCAAGAAAAGGACTCATATATAGACCTTTTTTGTGTTACGACAGGAATGCGGTGCGGCTTTTGTGTAGAATTGCTGATGGATAATAGTCAACACCCACCTGAGCACGTTCGGCCATCTCCTGAAAATCCCTCTTTACATTTGCAGCTGTAGGATCCAACGTTATTTCTACATTCAGCATTTGAATCACATTTGTGTTCTCCTAGACTGCACTCATCAACGTCTTAAAGAAAAAATTTTGAAGTAATTCAATTACCAAGGTTTCGATTTTCTACCATGCACAGACAACTAATAATTCACATCTTACAATGAGTGAGGGTCCGCTATTTTTTATTTTTACCAGGGATTTTCAGAATGTAGACCGTAGACGTAGCGAAACAAAAGAGCTAATGGGCGAAAAAAATAACGTACCACGTGCCTTATAAAACTTGTACTTTTCTTAGCTGTCCCATACAAGAAGAAAAAACGTGAAATAACTAACTTTCACGTCCTCCTAGCGGGGAAACCTCCGCAGCAATTTAATCACGTTTTGCTTTGAACTAAAGGGAAGAAATCGCACCGTTAGAAACAGTAAACGTGTCGAGTTACTGAATGGATTGCGTTGCAGCAGGGGTTCATCGAGGTCTCCATTGCGGAAAGCGGTAATGAGTCTATTCCATTCTTGATAAATGTTTTTCCAACTGTAGCCAACCCTCCCCCCTGCCCCCCTCCCCTGACGTTTCCTTAGGTTTTTCTCACAGTTTACTGCTGGTCCTTCTTTATCCTCGACGAGAAAATAAATGCACGAGGAGAGCACTAAACACTTTAAACGAAACAAACGGTCACCGACTTTCCTAATCGTTACGTGACTGCTAACACTTAGATATTGGAAACATATATCTGCCTCACCTTCTGTGCAATCTTCACCCGTGTAACCCGCTACGCAAACACATCTATACCCCTCACTGGAAAAACCAGCTTGGCAGATCGCATTACTTGGGCATAACTCTTTTATGCAAGTGTTCTTTACAGAGAAGCAGAAAAGGACAAGTCAAGGATATGTCTACGCAACTTACAAGGGGAGGGTAAGGAGGTACATTAGCATAGCCATTCTGAGGGCAGATAAATGAGACAACGAGAGTTTAAAATGATAATCAAGTGTCGGCAATACTTCCAGGAAAATTTAACACTAAAGGTTTTTTTACAATACAATAAATTAATATACATTTACTTGCTTTGTGAATAAATCGGTCACAAGTAATTAAAAGCCAATGAAGGAAAGGTAAATAACTGAAATAAATTCGTAGATTAGGAATTAAGATTACGGCAGCTCAAGACTTATGCTTTTTTTTTATCCGGTGCTTAAACTGTGTTTACTAGTACCATACTCTCCATATTCAAAGGGCAATCGAATCAATCAAGGTTGCAATTGAGTCATGCTTATAAACTTATCTTTGACGTTCGGTGAGGTAACGATAAGCGTTATTTTGTAAGCTACGTCTCTGTACCAACCGCGTTAATTGCAAACAATGACAATTGAAAGCACTTAACTCAACTGTTGTGTATGCCAACTTGGGGCTGGTCATTATGTTAGCTCCAAATAAACCCGTGAAGGGGAGAATAGATAACGGTAAATTTATGAAAATCATATCTATGAACTGCGGACCAGCCCCCACTTGGCTTGTTAGCTCAGTTGATAGAGCGCTGCACCGATATCGGAAAGGTCATGGGTTCAAATCCCCTACAAGCCTGAGGTTTTTCCAGGCTTATTTTCACTACTGCTTAAGTAGTGTTCGTTAATGCGAAGGTTGATTTCTTTAACCGCAGTTCACATATGTGGTTTTTATATATTTACAGTCAAAATTAAAAAGATGTGAATAAACCAGTAAAAAAATGAATTGTAACAAAGACATACGGATAGGCCAAAAGAAGACCTCTGTTATCCTAATCAATGCAGCTATAAACACACCTTGGACCAACGATAGGTGCTGTTTGGAAATGACAACAGATCACTCGGGTGTTCAAAATGTGTAGCGTCATTCATCTCGCATTTGGTGATCGAGGGAGAATCATTGGATACTAGTTTATTATAGCAGACACAACTGGGTTCCATGAAACACAATGCTCCACAGAAGTCCTTTGCGACGTTGTCAACTTCTTTTATTTTGTGGTTAAGCAGCCGTTTTCCTCTGAATGCAAGGGCAGCTCTGAACTTCAGTTGACGACATTGGTCATAGTAAAGAATGATATTTTCCGATAGGAAGAACATAATACCACTGGTTACAAGGGAATGCTCTATTTGACAAGGACACCGGATTTAGTGGTAGAGGTAAATAGTAAGGAAGGGATGGAGGAAGAGAAATTGGTAGAGGAAACTGCAATCAACGTAATACAAAGAATGTACGAATTTAAATCAATGAAAAAAGCATAACATGACGTTTCGATTATATCCTTTTATCATTGTCAAAATTGAAAGGGATTGGCATAATTGATGCACTATATGTAAATATGTGTAGAAATGTTGCGGTACATAAATGATTTCTTTAATGAGAACAGAGCGTAAAAGTGTGCTTTGTATTCATTCATACAAATCATTTCAAACGAATAGAGTCTGGGTAAGTGTTATAAATAAATAACTTTATTAATAATATACATGAAAAAATTACGCGATTCTAGTTGGCTGAAAACGAGTGCATTCTCATGTAACACGAGTGCAAAGTCACAACGAAAGTTCAAAATTGAAACACGAGGGCAAAATACAAATAGTGTGCGGACGCTTTTAAAATTTCGTCTTTCCTGACCTTCTGCGATGTTTTTTTCATGTACATTATAACAAGTAATAACATGATTCCCTCTTACTTCTCCTTACAGTAACACTTTGAATCAAACGTTAAGGTCATGAGAATAAGGAAAATGATCACTCATAAAGGTCAGGAAATCAGGGAAATGATCCGCCACCAGAGAAGCTTTGATTTGGTGGACAAATTCTCCATATAAATATCATTGTAATGTGAAAAGACCAGTATGGAGAATACGCATGCCGATCCAATGATATGAAGGGGTTAAGATGGTTCAATCTCTTCAAACAAAGTACACTTGTCTAAATAACTTTAAACGTAAATACGATTTCGGTGATTGCTAGATTTAGGGTATTTAGAAAGCGTAAAGTTTAATCAGAATTGTATGAGTTACTTGAATTACTATCTAAATGTATAAACGACGAAAGTCACCTAATTCATTTAAGCCTTGCACTTTCTATATCTTTCCAGAAAACTTGAATTCATGAATTAATTTTAATTTTAATGAGGAGAAACGTACCCTGAGAGTCAGACAATCATAGTCTCTTGTCCTCAGAGAAAAGAAGCACGAGTATGCTGTTCATGTTCCTATAGACACTTCAATCTTAAGAGTTACACTGTACTGAACTTAATGAAACGGATAAATCTCTTATACGGACACTTTGCTTTGTCCATAAGCTTTTTGTATCACAGAGGTTCGACTGCGGTGTTTTTCGCCGCTGTAAGTGTGAACAGTTAGGGTCTAACACCAGCTCGAAAATAAATAAATGGAACAAGCAGTCATCGAATCAATATTAAAAAGAAAATTTATTTTCTGTAACTTTTTAAACAGCACAGAATTATCTCGACATTAGGACGCACGATCAGTAAATAATTGTCTCAAGGACATTGTTACACTGAGATTATGCGCTCTTACACCAAAACCAACTGCAATCCTTTTCCATTCAAATGCTGGCCAACGCCAATTAGTCACCTAAGCAATCTCGTTGCAACGCTTTCTGGTCTCTGATTTTTAAAAGTAAAGTAAAATGTCGAGGTCTTCGCGATCGTTTATATTTTATAATGTCCATCATGTCTTTTCGACACAAATTAGGAAAAATAAGATTTAAATGCTCGCATATCGATAACCATGCACGTTGAAGAACAGTCTAAATGGAACTTCGCCGAGAACTGTGACTTCGGGAGAGACTTACAAACGAGAAAATAACATGCAAGAAATGATGAAAAAATACGATGACTTTTTGTCAACTTAAAATAAATTTTAAATAAATTTTATTTTTATTTAAACACGGTCAATTCATCAGCCTAAAAAATACATATCACATACGCTAGAATATTTAAAACTCAAACTATATACTATAACACTAAAAGCTGTTTTCCGTGAGTGCCGTGCGTTAGACTTAAAGAATGTCATTGATCTTACGTTTAAATACCCCTGAGACTCTGTGTTCCTTATATCGCATGGTAGACTGTTCCATAATGTGGCGCCATTGTAGCTAAAGCTTTTTCGGTAATAATTAGTGCGCGGTAATGGAACATTGAGCTTATTTTCAGAGTCCCTGAGGTCATCAGCAGAGTCACGCCACGTAAACTTTGAACACAGATACTCTGGAGCTAGCCCGTGCAGACATCTAAACATCATGGTGGCTTTGTGAATTTCCTGCTGGCGTGCAAGATTTTTCCACCTTAAAATCTCGAGTAGCTAAGTTGCATCAGCATCATAGTTAGAGAATGTCAACACACGGGCTGCTCTATTCTGCAATTTCTGCAGTTTGTCTCGTAGCGTTTTCCCACAGTTACTCCAAACAATGTCACAGTAATCAAAGTGAGGTTTTACTAAGGCTTGGTAAACGAGATGTAAGGTTGATGCTGGGATCAGGTGCCTAATTCGCTTTAGGGCCCCGATATCAGAGGCGATCTTTACGGTTAATTTTTCGATGTGACCATGCCAATCGAGTTTATCGCCTATTATTACAGCAAGCGATTTCGTAGCTGTAATCTGGCTCACTTGAGTATTGTTCATTGTAATTGTTGGTGAAGCTGTGAGAGTATTCAGTCTCTGCCTCGACCCTGTTAGCATGAATTCGGTTTTGATCATGTTCAATGTAAGTTTGTTTGCTTGTAGCCGGTTGAAAACGTTTGCTAAGTCAGCTTATAGCGGAGCTCGCAGAGCGTAGCCCCATAACTATAAAATAGTAGTAACCCATCAAGCCGAAAAAATTTGGTTGTACGACCGAACGGCTGTACGACCGTACAAGGTGCTACTTTTAGCATGCGCGGCCAACTGTACCACGGGCACTATCTTAGCCATTACGTAATGGAAGGGCGAGGGAGAAGGTAATGCGCAGGCGCGATTGCGTGCGTAACTTGGATACCACATTAGTGTGCGTCAAGAGACACCGTCAGATGACGTGCGCATACTCGAACGTCGAGCTGCAGTGTAGCGTACTGCGGGCACACGGTTAGGCATTGCACGAGGGCTTCACGTGAGCTAGCAGATGAAATTTGCCGCCCGCGTTTCGAGCGGGAAATTAAACTGGTCAGGATGTAATTAAACAGTAATTCTCAGTATTTTGCAATTTCTAAACAACTCGTAAGACAACAATACCGGCAGATTTTAAGTTTTGTCAACCGGAGGAAATTGTTATAATTCAAGTTCGTGGAGAGAGGGTTTTAAGTGAAAATAGGCTGGATATAAAGAGACAGAGCGACCAAAGAAAGCAACAAGTAAACAGCGTAAAGCGAGTCCAGAAAATCGCGCAAGAAAGTTACAAAGGACGCCAAAATAGGCAGAATACGGCGAGAGGAACACGAAAGAGAACAATAAAGGGCATAAGTAAAAAGGCGAGTTTCTAGCGAAGAGCAACGCGAGAAGAAAATACAAAGTCGCTTCTGAAAACAGACAGAAAAGAGGTCACCAACAAAGAGAAGCGAACTGCAAAGGATCCGCAAAAGAAGAGGAGGTAAGTCGTGTCCTACCTGGGTTTTCTCTTACGCTAAGACCCAGAAAAAAATTCCGACTTTTTTTTTACCAATCGTCGTTTGATACTAGCTTCAGTTTTTAATTCAACTGATCACGTTTCGGTTAAACATTGACTCTGGCATTCATCGCCTAAAAACTCTTACGCCGGTTCATCGCTCGAATAATATTGCAAAGTGTTCGTATTCTTCAAGTCATTTCTTGTCCTTTCGTTTGAAAGTCTAATACAGTCGTGGTGTTATGGGAAAAGAAGTTATCTTACGTATTTTGTTTTGCCTAGAAAGTTTTCAAATGATGTCGAACGGCGAGCCCAAGTTTCTACTTTTTTTCCTCTTCAGTTAATTATCGCAGGATTTACTCTA